CTCCATACATCACGAACTTCGATCGTTAGCCAATCAAATTTCGTGTAATAAACACCAAGGAGGCAAATGTGAAATGAGAAAGAATAGCTAGCTGTTTTAAACATTTATTATTCTAAACCTTTAAAACAAATACAAAGAAATGTCCAAAGATTGAATAGAAATCTTAATAAAAGATTTCAAAATTGATTATCTTTACGAAAGTGATCAAAAGTAGATAACTGAGTGTCACTGTGACTGGAATTCTCGGTGGAAAGAAACGTGGTTTTGCTCAATTTGACAGCCAGAAAACATGGCAGCGAAGTTGATTGTTTCGTCGAGAAGATATTTTGTGGAGCTGAAGAGCTACCGCTGGAAAGGTTTGAAGCTGCTGACTGTTTCCTTGAAATATTTGTATTCCTTATCGCGACGGTGCATTTAAATCATGAGAAAGCACGTCGCTGAACAACCGAAGCTGTCCTGACGAAGGACGTGTGTTGTAGCTCCTAAAACGCGATGTTTCAAATGCTTCAAATTTTGGATCGAATTTTCAAGCGGCGTCATAACTTTTTTTCTGCCCAAGACTTTCCATCCAAATTTATACACAGGCTGCAATAGTACTAGATGATAAAATTCTGAAAATTTCAGAAAAATCGTACCCGAGGATGAGGAGAAAAAAGCACTGTTTGATTTTCGGCCGTAATAGGCTAAACATTTAAAAAATCTTAAAATAAAATACACTGTTAGAATCTAGGATAATCCAAGCACATTATATGAAAAATACAGTTAAATTGACGTTATAGTTTTGCGAAGAGAGCGAGAATAAAATTGTCCAAAATTCGCTCTGAATTAGTTTGGTTCCACCTTAAATCCTCAGATCTCCCGTTCATATTGTATTTATTACGTAAACACTTTTTTCTACTGTTCTTAAACACACATATAAAATGAAAAAATCATGTACCTTCTCGTTTCCCAGGCCTGTAAAAAAGTCTTTCGAATTCTGGCTCGATTAAGACTGAGCAAGCTTGTTGTAACGTGGCAGAACGGTCCTCCGTGGCAGAATGGTCTTCTGAMGTTTCCGCCAATAGGAAATACGCTTTTATCTACCAATGATGCTCTGTGGTGAAAGTGTCCTATGCAAAATGTTCCCTTGGGGGAGACACAAGTTTGGCAGTGTCAGATCCACGTGTTTTTGTAGATCTAGTTCGAGCACGGCGAGTGCGGGTGAAGGATTATTGAGTAGCTACTAAGTCTTTCAAGTTATGATCATTTTCTTTTAACATAATTTGGAAATTGGTCTAAGGTTGATATTTTTATTTCTTGTTTGTGTTGTTTATTGTTCATTATTATTGGAAAAATCAGTCCTTGATCCATAAGCTTCTTTATGTTTATACAAGGTAGTTTATACGAATTTAAAAACATAGATTCCAGTACAACAATGCATATAAATAATTGAAATAAGTTACTTTTAGATGCACATTAGAAGCAAAGCGTAATTCAGTATAGCTAAATTAGATTATTAGTTGAATGGTGAAGTATTTCTTTGAATGCATTTTAAATTTACTGAATTAAAAATACATATAAATAACTGACTACTGTGATGTGAATTAGGACATCATTTGATAAACAAAACTGAAGTGTTTCAAAAAAAAATGAAAAAAATAAAAATATTACAAATGCTATTACCAATAATAATAATTTTCCATTGAACGAGGGCCAGTACTGCACACTTATTAGTATTGTATACTGAGGATATAACTAGCTAAAAACTAGTGTTTGTACCACTTCTAATGTTATATACTGTATTTACTGATGTACCCGCTGTAATCTTTTTTATGTGGGTGAGACTGGCCGCCGTCTTGGTGATCGCATTTGTAATCATCTTTATGATATTCGCAATAACGATCCCACCAAACCAGTTTC